AAAGCAAATCTAAAATCAATAATTGATACTCCTAACTAAGCAAACTCATGAAGAAAGAACAAATTAAATCAAAAATCACAAGAAAAAAAAATGATAAAAGATATAAGATATCAATTGAGAACAGAAAGTGAGTGGAAGAAAACTAATGAAAATAATCTTTCTTTGAAAAGATTATAACAAAATTATGAATTTTGTGATGCAGGTGTGTCACTGTACTATGCTGATTTTAAGTCTTTGGGGTATATAMCAAGGAGTGGGAAACCGGGTAAAGTGTTGGTTCCATTCCAAGTTTTCTAAGGGAACTCCATTCTGCTTTCCACAGTAGTTGCACCAATTTGCAGCCCCACAATGTATGAGTGTACCTTTTTCCCCACTTTCCTCCTCAAAATTTATTGCTACTTGTATTCTTGATAATTGCCATTCTCACTGGAATGAGATGAAATCTCAATGTGGTTTTAATTTGCATTTCTATAATTGCTAGAGATGCTGAATATTTTTATAAAGAAAATGTGGTATGCATACACAATGGAATATTACTCAGCCACAAATAAAAATAAAATTATGCCATTTGTTGGTAAATGAATAAAACTAAAGGTTTTCATGTTAAACAAAATAAGCCAGTCCCAAAAAGCAAAGGCAAGTGTTCTCTCTGATATGTGGATACTAACACAAAACAAGGGAGGAGCAATAGAAGTTTATTGGACTAAACAAAGGGGAATAGAAGGAAGAGAGGGGTTATGGGATTATGAGAGACAGTAGAATGAGTTGGACATAACTTTTCTATGTTCATATAAGAATACATGACCAGTGACACTCCACATCATGTACAACCACAAGAATGAGATCCTAATTAGGATGTTATTCTCCWTGTACATATAATATGTCAAAATGCCATCTACTGTTTTACATATAAAAAGAACAAATAATAAATACATACATTTTATGGATAAAAAAGAAAATATTGACAAATTTGATAAACCTCTCACCAAGCTAAGCAAAGAAAAATTAAGAAAGACACAGTTACTAATATAAAAAGGGAAAGAGAAGAGGGATCCTTAAGAAAATCAGTAAAACTAAAACACAGTTCTTTAAAGAGATCAATAAAAATAATAGACTTCTAGAAAGGCTAAGAAAAAAAAAGAGAGAGAGAGAGGTCCCATGAATGACTCATATCAGAGTTGAAAGGAGTTATTGCTACAGAGTCCATGAACATTGACAGAATGATCAAGGAATTAGAAATAAATCTGTGCCCCCAAATTTGATGGATAAGTGTGCCAATTTTTAGCAAAATATCAACCAGGATATGGATAATCTGACCACACCTGTATCTATTCACACTGACTCAAAAAAATTGACAATCTTTCTAAACAGAAGGCATCAGGCCCAGATAGTGATATTCTCTACGATCGATTCCAGAACTAGAAACAGAGTGAACACTACTTCCTAACACATTCTCTGAGGCCAGCATTACCATAATATGAAAACTAGACAAAAATTTCCATAGTCGTGCAGTTTCACACCAGTTAGTAGTAAATTTGCTCTTGTATTGGCCATGTTTTTGCTTAGAGTATTTTATGATTCTCTATCATATAGAAACCTTTAGAGTATTTTATGATTCTCTATCATATAGAAACCTTGCCAACCTAGGAAATATTGTCCCTCGCAGGCATGGCTGGCTCTTAGATGTAGCAAACAAATCCCAGTAATATGCCTTTTTATGCAAACCAATCAGTCTAAAGCCCACACTCCTAACAACCACCTTTATGAAGATCAAAAATATCAAAAATAGAAGAAATTATGTATGGTGAGGCTAGGAGGAAGAGGAATAGGGAAACTCTGCATGCTCTTTCTCTGTATACATAAAGATTTTCTAAAAATAGTGAAAATATTTGGCAAACTAATAAAGGATACATACTTATAATGAGTATATTTACCAAGGGCCTTATATGCAGTACTAAACTACTAATCAATAATGAAAACAGGAAGTAATAAAAATGTAAGACACTYACAAAACAATTATAAATAGCCACTGAGTGCATAAAAAGATAAATCATTACGGAAATGCAGACCAAAACACAAGAAAATATTAATTTAAAAAGACAACAATTCAAAAGACTGACAACCACGTTTCTTGGTTGCACATGCAGTGGCTGGATTTTCATACTTTATTTGTGGAAACATGAAATAATACAATCACTTTGGAAAGTAGTGCAAAAATTTCTTATACATTTATATAATTAAAATTAATATATTATTTTTATAAAATATAGAACAAAAATATTTATGCATAATAAAATTAGTAAAACAAAATTTGTAAGGTCTTTGGAATAAAAGGTAAATTTGACCCAGATTCCAAGAACAATGAGTCTGGTAAGTCCCTTCAGAAATCTTCCACAAGAAGTTAGAGAACCCCCAAAGAGGGGGAATCTGTAAAGAATTTCTAAAAGCGTAGGGGAAAGAATGGGAAGGGATGCACCTGGGATTCTAGTGGAAGACATGTGAAAGGAAACCACAGCAAGACCCTCTGCCTCAAACCTGAAATTTGTATGGATGTTAATTCATCTAGGTATAAAACCTAGTTTCATGTTTGAAATGCTTGAAATTGATGAAAGCAAAAAATATAATGATRATGATTTAAATCTGGTAGGTGAAGATTTAGCACAAGATTGACATTAAATATCTCCTTGAGAGGTCTCAGCTCAAACACGTGGAGGAACACCCTCTGCCAGATGCTCAGCTCTGCCAAGGATCTAGGCACACAGTAGTGTACATCTGGCACATATCCTCCCCACCAAAGAGATGTGCAAAAGGAAGGTCAACCCAGTCTCAGGTGTCAGGAGCAGAGGCCCAAGAGAAGATCAGCAAAATTGTCAGTTGAACATGCCCCTGCAAAATGGAAAAGAAGTCAAAAGGGAAGCAGGAAAGGTTATATTTCTAAGAAAATGAGTAAAACCAAAGAGAAGGGGGAGTAAAGGGAAAACAGGCAGAAGTGGGTAAGTAAGAAACAAAAGAAGGTTTGCCTGAAGTAAACAGAGAAACTAAAACYAAGGAAAGTCCAGCCTCTGACCAAGCAAAAGAGAAAGAAGCCAAGCTGATAACTACCATGTACTATTTCTTATCAGTGGTCCTTCTCTTCCTTATTGAACAATCCGTTAAAATAATTTTATCAAATATTTTGTAAAAGCAAGTTTTTGTAGCTCTAGCAATATTTTTAAAATGTTTCTCTTAGTGCTTTATAGTCATGCATAAAAGTGGGGTTCATATTAAAATAATCATACATTCATGGAATATAACTTGCTTCCTCTTTCCCTTCCCTCTTCTTCCCCCCATGTTCCTCCCGTCTATTCTACTATATTCCTTCTATTTATTTATTATTTTTAAACTAGTGATTTTTTATAGACAAACATACATTTGGAATTCACTATGGTATATTTATATGTGAACATAGCATAATTTTGTCACTTCCATTCCACATTTTCTTCCTTTTTCTGTCCTTCCTACCTCCYCCTCAATCCCCTTCCTTTACTCCACTGATATAGCATGTTTTTGTGGGATTTGGTCCTCCAACCCCACATCTTTTCCTTACTTCACTCTAGATCCCCCCTCCTCCTCCTACAAATTATATCCTTGACTTTCATCACTGGCTTATCTCACTTATGATGATAGTCTCCAGTCATCCATTTAACAGGAAATATCATGATTTCATTATTCTTTATGACTGAGTAAAACTCCATTGTGAGTGTGTGTGAATATATATATATAATATAATATATATATATATATATATATATAAAACACATTTGCTTGATCCATTCATCTCTTGAGGGGCATCGAGGGCTGGTTTGATATTGGGGATTCTAGCGACCATTTTTAGAAAGAAATCCCACATTGTCTTCTCACATTTAAAAAGTATAAATGTTTTTTTTTAAAGAGTTGAAATGATTGACTGGTTATTCATTGTGGGGGGATATGAATTACAGGAGGCTTTGACTGTCTTGAGTTTCAGCCTAACATTCAGGAGGTGGAGGGTGCAGTTTTGTATCCTACAGTGCAAAGCATAGAAATCGACAATCTGGAGTCACAGTGAGGCATTTACTATGTTTGAATATTTTAAATCACTTCTATTCCCATATCATTTTAAATAGATTTGTTTCCTAAAGAAAACCACTCCTTGATCCTTGCCCTATCAGAACTGTTTGAACTCTGTAACATCTTTGGTCATGGCAGTCAAGTTTTTCTAAATGATTTTRCTAACGTGCTACAACCAAAAATTTGAGTATGTAGTATATATTACATAAAATCGTGAACTAGTGGCCCTTATGTTACAGCTTATCAACACTAGAAGATAATGGGACTTATGGAAAATTAGTCTCCATATTTGAAGCAGGAAAGTCACTAGAGTAACTATTATAAAGAATCAAAATACAAGGCTTCTTAGATTTTTGGCTTATACGTTAAGAATTCTGTACAAATTGAAAACACTACTAGTTAATCAAAAAATTCAATTATAAAAAATGCATCAGTTCTATTCATTCATTGAGTCATTTCTTTCATTAATACTGTAAGGACTAATCAAGAGATTTTCTAAGCCTTGTCAAAATTAAAGAAAACTGTTCTTTGTGGGTTGAAATGAAATTTACGTCTTTAATTTTAATCAGACAAGGAACAGAAAATGAAATTTGTCAAAAATATAACCTTCATTTAGTCTCTATGAGGTACAGTAACCAAAGAAATTTAGACCTTTCTTGTACTACTTTCTGTCTCCTTCTTAGGAAGGGATTCAACAAAAGCAGTCCTAGACCCCTGATCTCCTGAAGGCCCCAAACTAATGGGGTGAAAGTCCTAAGGCCGTTCATGACATCCTAATCAATGTTTGTTTAACAGGCCTTGTCTCATTTAGGTCTCATGAGAGCGATCATTATCTTAACTGTTTTAAGATCAGAGGTTAAGGATATAAGAAGTTAAGAAAATGTCCCAACACAGTATGGAGGAGTTGGGTCTCAGAGCCAATCTGTCTGATCTTCATCACCATCTCCTCTGCTGCCTGACATCTCCAGGGCTTCCTGAGAAAGCCTATCTCCACATTCATCTTTCTCAGGAGAGTCCTGCAAAGCCCCCTGGACAAACAGCTGGAGACTCGGCTGCTGCAGAAGCTGCTGCCTAAAGGAGCCAGTGAGGAAGTAAATGATGGTGTTGGAGCAGCTGTTGACAGAGGACCATAGAAATGGGAGTCGAAGAACTTATGATAAGAACATACCCATGTTGGTCCCAACCCAGGTTACTAGGAAACCTTGTATACCTAAGGGCAGACCACAAAAATGAAAGTCCATCACTGTGAGCAGGATGGTTATATTCAGCTTGGTCATCAGCTTTGCCCGGAACTACAGAACATCCTGATCACAAGGCCCAAGTTAGACTCAGAGAGAACAACAAATAAAAAAATCATCCAAGCGGCTGAGAAGAAATCTAATACCAGACACCAAACACAATCAAAATCCTCAAATAGGTAGTCCCACTGCTATCCTTCCAAGATGCTAAATAGCAGGGGCAGGACCCAGTGTAGGGCACACATGACAACTGATGTGTGTCTAGGGCTGTGGCAGTGCTATCATGCCATGGGACAGTCAGTGCTCAGTTCTAATGGCACTGAGCATTCTCAAGCCTGAAATGTAGACAAAGATCCACAGAGGGTCAAAAAAGTGTAAATGTGGATAGAGACAGAATAAACAATGATGGAAAAATATAGCAGGGTATCTATAATGTGGCAGCAAAGGAGAAAAAGTCAACAGCAGCCAGGTTTAGGATGTAGACAGAGAAGGCGTTCCTGTGCATGTGGAACCAGAGCACTGTTGCATTTCCTGCCAGCACAACAGGGCAATAATAAATGTCAGCAACTTCACAATCAGGGTCTTCTTGTGAAAATATAACAAATGTCTTGCTCATTTTCATTCATTGTTGTGAAATCAGTCCCTCAGTTGGGGGAGTTGGATGCATGATCAGGAACTCTCCAACAGGGCACCGGCAAACATAAGTAGGATATCAGCATCTGTCACGTGCACTGGGATTCTAAGTGCCACCCAGATTGTGGGGAGGTTCTGGCCTACTAACAAGTAAGGATACAGAAGCTTGGAGAGATTAAGTATTTTATTGAAGTCAGGATTCTGAAACTTGGATAAAACCCAGTACTTTCTGATTTTAATACTTGGTCTTTCTCTCCTGAACCATGGGTCTGTTACTGACATGGGAAATTTCTATGATGCCAACACTCTYACTGAGTATCCTAGGCCCTGTTATGACCCCCCAGAGCAGGAGGAAGAAAGTCTGGAACAGAGAGTGCAGGACAGAAATAGGGGTCAGCCCAGAATTCCTCTGCACAGGGGTTTTCTTTCAGGAGCAAGAATTCACAGTTCCTCAGTAATGAAAATGGCCACCCTCAGTGGCTCAGAGTGGTCCTTCTATCAGGGATAAAGGATGTTATTTAAAGCCATGGGGGAAATTTGACCCTTTGTGAGGGGAGGTGTAGGAAAGAAACATTTCAATGAATCAGTTTTATAAGGTCAAGAAGCACTTTATTCTTGTCCATGCTGCTTCCCAGTGCCCAGCTCCTGAAGGAGGACAGAGWTGAGTAGTCAAGATGTCTGTAATCCACAGGTGAATGAATTAACAAATAGGAACCATAAGCATACTTGAAAATTGGGTTAAATGTGACACAAAAATTTTAAGTGGAATTAGTCACTAGGAAACACATATGGAATGAAATGAAGCAAATGCATTCCTCATTGAACCTTCTGTTAAATACAGAGATGAATTGGAAAGAATGCCCCATGGAAAGACATGAGTAATAATGCTCACATTGTGTCTCCATCTCAAGGATGGCTAGGGTCTGGATTTACTGAGCATGGAAAAGGATTTAAGGCAAAAGGTTAAAGACTGGACTCAGGGATGAACTGAACTTCCAGTGCTTTTGAAAAGTAAAAAGAAAGTTTGAGAAAAGAGAGAGAAAGATTGAGACAGAGAGAAAAGAAGGGAGAGTTTTGGAGATGATGCTGAGTTTGGTCATAGAAATATCTAAGAGGGGTTAGTAAGTGACTTGCTGTGAGATGAGTAACCAAAAGCCTATTTATTACCCTCTGTTATGGGGCAGACCTCTCAGAAAACATAAAGTCCATTTTGTTCAAATTGAAGAATATTTAYTACATTGGCCAGCCAGTAACTGCTGCCCACAGAACCCATACCTGTCTCTGCAAGGAACAGCATGGAGCCTGAGCATTTCAGGGGTTTTAAAGGCAAAAACCACAACCAGGTTGAAGTATCTGCAAGCAAGAAGGGGTACTGAAGTTGAACTGAGCAGTTAGGAAAGTAATGCAATGGGTACATTGATATTTCCCATGAGACTTTCCAGGTTKACATATCATAAAGCAAGTAGAAGGGAAGTGGGTCAAAATGACCCTAGTTGAGTACAAGTTAGAGAATGGTTACTAACATCCAGATTATCAAACTCGGACAGGGTACAATGTCCAAGAAAAATCGAAACCAAAGAGAGAACAATTGTATAAGAATTGCCATTTTGTGTTGCCAAACATGCTATGATGAGCACCTATGGATAGGTATAGAGGTAGGGAGTTCCCAGGGGACACATATTTCTTATATGACATGGAGTCTTAGGGTAAAATGGAGTCTGTTTTGTCATTGCCCATATATCCTGGCCCATAACACCCTCCCCCACTGATTCTCAAGGGTTTTCTTTCTAGATTTAAACATTCTTTTGATCRAGTTCTTTGAGGGGGACTACTTTTAAGCCTCATTGATGTAGAACTCTGGGTGAAAAGAAAGACATTTATGCACAATTCATATGAAACACAGGGAACTACTAGAAATAGGTAAAATGCAGTAGCTGGTTGATTAATATGTGGTATACCTTTTGATCCTGTAAATAATCACATGATAATTACTATTCCCTCCWTCCATTGGAGAAAGAAGAGGCACAAGAAAGTTGAGTGTTTTGCCCAGGTTTGATGAAAAACAGTGATGCAAAACAGAGCCTGGATCTGAGCTCCCAGATCAGCACCAATGTTGTTACCTTTTCCAACCCAGAAGTTCCTCTGCCATATGAGGTACATATGGAAAGGAAATTGAAGGTAAAAGCTTGTACTATCAGAGACTTAGAAATAGCAATTTGTACTTTTTAAAAATAGAATATGCAAAATTTTGAAACAAGAAGGAAAACAAGTCTATGAAAGATAGAACACAGAATAGTAGTAGGTAGAGGACAATGGATAAGACTCCAGCCCAGGTCATCTACGTGGCTCTGCAAAAGCACCAGTCAGTGCACAAGCAATTAACACAGGAAAAGAGGATCTGAGGAAAAGTTGGCAGGAGTCCCTGGGTATTAAGGGCTAAATGAAGAAGTTATAGTTCTCTCTTGGTTACTGTCGAGGAACTGCCTCCCTCATTGGCCTGATAAGGATATGGAGGAGAACCACAACCTCTATCATATTCCCTCAGGGTTCCTATATCATTTATTAATGCCACTAGACATGATTTTTTAACTCCATATGTACATTTTCTTTTGTCTCCTTTATCAAACTCAAATCTCCAAAATGTCTAGACTTGCTGGGTTTTATCAATGTTGTTCACTATTGTATCCCCAGCATCTAGCACAAGTGTTTCAGAGACCAATTATTATATCATCCACATTTAGCACAGGAAGGACCTGAAACATAATGAACACAAAGATATTTTAATCACATGGCAAAGAGCAAATACAACACCAGCCCTGATCTCAGGACCCTCTCCAGTTTTTTCTCAGTCTTCCTATCTCATCATACACCATATTAGGAACTCCCAAGAAAATATTTCTTGAATGATGGAATATTAAAATGCAAAGGAGAAGCTAGGTTCAGTGGAACATGCCTGTAATTTCAGCGTCTCCAGAGATTGACAGGAGAGGATCAGTAGCTGAAAGTCAGTCTCACCAAAAGTGAGGCATTAAGCAAGTCAGTGAGACCTGTATCTAAATATAATGCAAAATAGGACTGGGGTTGTGGCTCAGTGGTTGAGTGCCCCTGAGTTCAATCCCTGGTACCAAAAAATAAATAAAATGCAAAACAGAATCATGGTATATAAACTATTATTGCTCCAGTTATACTTCTCCTTTCTCACATACATGGGAGAGTTTTAGACCCTAGAAAGGACTGCAATCTCAACCTTCCTTGTTGGTGTTGGYACCATATGACTAAGTAATGGCCATTGGGAGATGAGCATAAGTGCCCCAACCCTTGGATTGTGCTCTCCCTGCTCCTTTTCCTCCAATGTGGAGTGCTGGATGGCTGGAAGCCAGGTACRATCAAGAGGATGAAAGGATATCTCTAGGAATGATGATATTACCAAACCAAAAAGAACTCTGGTGTTGAATATCTTKGAATACCCACTCCTACTCTAATAAACTTTTTGGTTTAAGTAACTATGACTATGGGTATTTCTTTATACYAGCAATTGTAATTAACCTAAAATATTTATACATACCCATGTACCGTCTACTTTTTAAAACTACATACCATTCTTTTGGGCTTTGTTTTTGTTTGTTTTTATTAGTGCATTGTAGCTATATATAATATTGGGGTTCATTTTGACAATGATAAAAATGTGGAATACAGTTTGCTCCAATTCAGTCCCTTGTACTTATTCTTTCCCTCCTCTCCTTGCTCTCCCTGTTCTCTTTCCTCTATTCAACCTGTCTTTCTTGTATTTATTTATAGTTTTTTTTCCATTAGTGCATAATAGATATAAATAAAGGTGAAGTTCACCGTGATATGTTCATATATGTACATGAGAGAGTCTGGTTAGTTTCATTCCATCACTCCTCCCTCCCCCAAACCCCCTTTCTCTTCTTCATTGATCTTTTATTTTCACTGCTTCCCATTCTTAAGTAAATTCTAATTTTAGTGAGAGATTTGTGKTTTTTGTTATAGTTAAAGCTTCGTCCCAGGGTTTCATMAACTGACTTCCAGACCACTCACGTATAATCGAATCAAGCCTTTATTGAAGCACACCGGTGGCAGCTGACCAGAACATAAAGCTGTTCCCTTGATCAGCCCGGAACAATTGCAAGGGCACTCCTTATAAACCTGAAAACTGCAAAAGGGATGTTCAGGGAGTCTAGTCAATGCAAGCAAGCCAGGTTACAGAAGCGGGACAGTGCAGTCAAGTGGAGGGAAGCCTAACCATTCACAGTTAGCCCAGTCACCCCAGTTACAGAATAGAGCCTCGTTACCCTAGTTACAGAAGCAATACCCCATTAGGTAGTTCCGTGTTCTTAAAGGTTTCTATAGCAAAAGGAAAAGAACATTTTGCCCCAGATATGACTCTTCTACTTGGCATGGTTGTTTTACAGGATAAAGTCATAAAACAAAATGGAGTCACATTTGCTCCTACTATCACAGTTTGTCTGGTCACTGGTGTGGTTGAGTTGGTCACTCAACTACCTCAGTCATAGCGGGTAGAGACACAGAATCAACACAAAGACACTGGGAGCTGGTGATAGTGCTGGCAGGTGACAACCTCAGCCAACTTCCAGCAAGCATGTTTATTTCAGAAATGAGTACAGCTGTTATAGGSCTCGGATACAGCGTGTCTGTCAATCATACATAAGCAAAACAGCATCTAGAAGCCAATCATCTTATGACTAATGTAACCACACTATGAGGAAGCTCTAAATATTAAACAGTGATGGAAAATAGTCTGGAAGCATCTTTGTCCCTAGGGGAGGGGGGCCTTATGAGTCAGGGGTTTCATGCCATGAAATACCTGACTCTCAGTTTTCTGGCCTGGTAGCTTGGTATCGMTAACTTCAAGCACTGAGGATGTGGTTTTACTGACTTCTCACTAGAGCAGAGCGCTCCACCCTGCAGGTGTTCCTGTCAGGCCTGAATGGGCATAGATTTTTCAAGCACTCCAAATTGCTCCTAGCTGCTAGCTGTAAACTGAAAGTTACTCCAACAAGATTATTCAAATAATATGAAACACATAGGAGGTTAGAACAAACAAGAGTCAAGCAAACTGGAAAGAGATGCAATAAAATCGTATCCAATCACATTGGGATAGTGAAGGTCTCAGAAAATACAAATAGTGGGGAGGCTACCAGAGGAAATCAATCTTTCACATTTTCCTGCAACATTGCATGTCTTCTCTTCCTTCCCTTCTTCTGAATTCTGGGAAGAGATACATTTATGCCTAATCAATAAGATGTCTTTGCTCTGCCTCCTGATTACACTTAGCCAAAGTGATATAATGAAAGAAGATTGGACAGCAACAGGACAGCAAATTGGCCTATTTAATTGACTTTCTGTCTCTTGCTAGACTATAGGTTGACAATGACAGTGTAACTGTACCACAGGACATACATCCATCTAATGGCCATTTATTAAAACCAAAGATACAGCTAYAGTTACAGTTTCAACCAGCTCTAAATTCTGATAACGTTTCTTTCCCATTCTCTTTTTARACCAAATGATGTTAAACTTCCCCAACCATTCTTTTCTTTGCTGATGAGAAGATTTCACCATCCCATGTAACTTTCCCTAAATCCACCCAAGTATTACATCAGGTATTCYATGATGACATGGGTACAGATACACAAAGGAAAGGAAACWTTGTAAAGCAAGTAAAACAGGTGAGAGGTGTCTTCACAGCACTTTCTTTGGGGGAACATGCAAGTACACTATCTTGCTTCCTAAATTAAGGAGTGCAGCAGAYTTCCCACCATGTCAGTAATTTGATTAATTGGAATAAGGGTCAGCTGGGGAGAAGATTAAGGAAGAAAGAACAGTCTTGATTCACAGCTCTCATATATCCCACAGACAAGACTGCTATCAATTAAATTTGCCAGGAGGGATGTCRCCTATCTCTTCCTCTTGGAGTCCCTGTGGTTCATGAATGCTCCATCCCAAGGTGAAGGGATGTGGTTTTGAACTAAAAGAAAAAAAATATAAATGAGACATTAAAAATAATCTCTTGAAAAAGGATTACCTTTTCTCCATTCTTCTTACTGGAGATGGTAGTCTGTCCTGTGTTGAGGGAAAACCACCTGATTTAAAAGTCTCTACAAGATACTTCTCAACCCTGCCAACGTCACTGCAAGAGTGAAATCTGATGATCAAGTGATGCCTATCAAGATTCTGGGCAGCCTCCTAGTTTCCTGTCTGGTGACCTACTGGCCAGTGAGAGTGTATATATATATATATATATATATATATCCCTCAGTCAGGTCTCTTTCCATACAAATGATCTTGATCTCTTTATTTAGTGGAAGTTGAAAAGGAAAGAGAGAAGTGATAATGAAGCTTACAGAACATTGAAGCAAGGAAGCACTTCAGAGGGATTTTAAGTAATTTCTATAAGGTGTGAACATAAATCCACCCATTATCTCCCCTGGGTGATTTTGGATGAAGTCTACATTCCTGACTAAAGCATTTTTGAAATTATTCTTTAGAAGGTGGGTGGGAACAAGAAAAATTATATTTATACACTTAGGAGGCTTAAGGTAAAAAGAGGTACTCCTGGGACTTCCAGTGTGGGATGGAGCACTAACTTACTATGACATGTATAATAGAAGCTGCTTGAGTTCTTCTCTAGTATGACCTCTTTTAATCCTCTCCATGCCCAATGAAGATACGACTGTTATTTTTCCCATTCTACAGATCAGAAAACAAAAACAGAAAATACTGAGAAAAATACTCCAGGAATATGAATTTGATCTGGTCTGTGCCAGAGTCTTTGTCCTTAGCCAGCCTCTCAGTATCATAGCCMGGGTTCCCTGTCAACTACACAAGGAGATTGGAGAAAAATCAACCCAAGACAAATCCAAATTAGTTTATCAAAGTTGTGGGTTTTTTAAGCATCAGTAAAACAAATTTCAGAAACAAAAACTAAGGAAGATGAAGCTATCAAAAAAGGAGGATATTTGAATAGAAACCAACTGGGTATAAGCACCTGAATACATGAGCTCTTTCTGTTTCAAAAAGAAAACTGCCCATCACTCCATACAGCCAAGGACTCACATGGGCAGAAGGCATCAAGTGGAAGGAGGATGTGCTCTCCATTAGGGGTGCCCAGTTGGCATCAGGCTTGAATGCATCTGTCATGGGATTTTCCAGCTCTGCAGCCCTGGTTGTCTTAAGCAGAAGATAAAGGAAATCAAAAACTCTGTTATCCTCTCTTGAGACCTCTTGGCCTTCTTATTCATAGTCCCTAATATAGTTTGGAATTCTGTTTTTAAGGAAGTGTCTTCTTTTTCTTTTGTCTCCTTCATTAAACTCAAAGATCTATAATGTCTTGGCCTGTGTGGGTTTTGTTGATCCCTATCATATCCCCAGCTGTTATCACTTRTCCCTTAGAGAATCTATGATTTAAAGAGTACAGAAGATTTTTCTGAGATCACAATGTCAAGAACAAGTCCAATACTAAATTATATCTCCTAGATCTCTGCCCTACATTTGTTTCTGTTCCATGGTCACATGATTAATTATTTGTGAAGTATTTTGGAGAGAAATCTTCATGTGAACACAAATCTGAGAGTCCATAGGGACTGTACAGATGGCCCAATATACATTGTCTCCCAAATATGCATTTTCTTCTTCTATCACATAGTGATTCTGAAGGTGTTAGATCAGAAAATGGATCCCATTCTCAGYCTCTCTTAATATTTGGTGATACTATAAATAGGTGCTGGCCAGTGGGAGGTGAACAAAGGAGATTTCTCAGTTTTCTATCAGTGTCTCATGTCCTTTCTTCTGTACCATTCTGTGCATGCTAGAGTACACATCTCTATGCCTCATTGATGAGATCCCTTTCACTCTGTCTTCTGGTTACATATAGAGAAAGCTACATGTTGACAGGAGATGAAGTTTTTGTTTTGTTTTGTTTTGCCAATTTCTTGGTCTTCTTATCAGGCTGTGAATCAACATTGTTATTACAAYTAAAGATAGAGATGGTCGCATCTCTTCCTGACAACCATGCTACAACTACAGACCATTTTGAGTTCTCCTAACTTCTCTTTACACCCTCAGGCCTAGCAGTGGCAACAACTCACCACTATAATGTGCTTTCAGCAKCTTTATCATTCTTTATTTTTTCTCTTAGCCCTCCCTGTACCTTTGTAAACAGTCTGAGTTGAAYACTTCTCAACTACCTTGTTAGAGTGTGTGCTGTTTTATGCTGTGACATTTACAGATACAAGGGACACAATGAGAAAAAAATTCTTTTGAATAGCAAGAAAATCTGTGAAGGCTAAGGTTATTAACAATATTTGGAGGAATGGGATCCATCAAACACTTGTCTCCTCTTAACCAGGAATGGAAAACCACAGCTGCATACCAGAATGCCAGGTGACTTATCATTGGTGGTACTGGCAGAAATGAGTCAAGGCTAGCTTGAACTGGCAATATGTAGGGAAAATCATTAGGGTTCAGAGGGAGAAAGAGGAGTCTCATGTGGAGGTCTGAAGTGGGCAGGAGCTAGAAGTTCATTTCACGAGCACACTGTGCCTTTTCTTACTGAATTACTTGCCMGCATCTTTCCATAGGAAATCACATGGGTTACTCAGATTCTTGATGACACCAGATAAGGCATTCACTTCTACAGGGCTCTCCCCAACTAGAAGACCAGAAGTTCACTTTAGSGTCAAGAGCTCTGGAAGTTCCTCCTTTTTCTAGGCAGTTTTAARCTGACATTCCACTGGAGTGGAATAAAGGCAAAGTATTTTTGAAGAATTTTTCTTTAGGTAAAACCTCTCTTGCTCAGACAAGAGCTTAGTTGCTCAAAAACTCAAAGGCTCAGGGGAGGGGATCATGGGACCCGACAACTGTGTGGTCAGGAAATCCTGCAGCTAGATTGATGTGATTGGAAATACCAGCTCCTTTTTGTAACTGCTTCTGTATGCTCCTTTTTGTAACTGCTTCTGTATTCCTTGTATCCTCCCATCTTTCAGCCATTCAGATCTGCTGTTAGGGAACATGAGATGTAGTTGTAGGGGGATTAGGGTATGAAAAGTTGGTGACAAAGAGTGCTCTAGTTTTCCTAGTTGAGAAGTTTTTCTCTGTAAGCATCGCATGAGTTCACTCAACAACAATTAATTGCCTATTTTGTGCCAGGAATTGTTGTTGGCTGTGAGGATAAGCAGTAAACATGGAAGACTGCAATCACAATGCATACTAAACTTATATTCTTATATATGTATATGCATAGGTAATAAGTTTCAGTTTAATTGAGTGAAATTCCAGTTGCTTTTCTCTCTCATATGATTCTATTCAATTCAGTGTCAGTGTTATAGTTTGAATCTTGAATATCTATCAAGATTAGCACATGTCCTCATGTGTTAAGATCTTCATTCCCAGGGGAGACACTATTGGGAAATGGTAGAACATTTAAGAAGTGAAGCCTAGTGGGAGATCTTTATATTATTGTGGACAGGCTCTTAGAGGGGATTTGAGGACATTCATTCCCTTTTCTCCCTCTTTTCCTCCACCACATGCTCCTCACATGATGTCCTGCTTCACCACAGGCACAAAACAATGAGGATATATGGTCAATGATTGGAACTTTCAAGACAGTGAACTAAAATACCCCTTGTTTATTTATATATTWATTTCCTCAGCTTTTGTTAAAATGACTGAAAGCTGGCTAACACAGAAAATGATACTAAAAAGTGGAGTTGCCACTATACTACATACTTAACCATGTGGAGGAGTCTTTGGAGTTGAATTACAGGAAGACTTTGGAGGAGCTGGCWAAAGCAAGCCTAGAATGCTGAAAAAGTAGCTTAATGGACAATTCTGATTTAGAGCACATAAGACCAGAAAGCTGATAAATGTGGACTGTAAAGACTAGGCAGATGAGGTTTCAGATGGAAAGGAGGACTCTTTGGGCAATTGGACTAGGAGATATTCTTTTACACCTTGTCAAGGGGAATTTGTCTACATTTTGTCCATCCCCTGATACTCCATAGGAGAATAAGCTTTAAGGTTGCTGCAGTCTGGCTGGGCATAATTCAGGARCCACTTATCAAAAGAAATGAACTTTATTTTTAGAACACACACACCGCACCACACAGCTCTTCAGGAAAACCCTCAGAGCCCAACTGCCACCACTGGCTTCCCACAAGCCTCTCAACCTCCCCCACCCCTTCTGCTCTTTAGGCCGATTGGCTGGGTCGCTTGGGTGGAGCCAAA